GAGTTGAAAAAATATCGCGTAAAACTTTTTTCCCTTTTTTCTCTTCTCTTCCCTTTAATTCAGCTACACCGTGAGAGGGCACCACGCGTATGGGCGGTGACATGTCCGTAGGGCTATGCAGTTTTCCTGCCGATTACAGTCTAAACTGCAAAAGCGTACGTTTTAATGAAACGTTTACGTATACTCGTTAATAATCGGAAAAAGAGGAGGGAGAGATGTCGCTAATCTCCTTTCATAGAGTGAATTAGAGGGTAAAAGGAATGTAAAAACATATACTTTTTTATTTCATTCAACAAACACTTAATATCTGCTTTAAAAGGTCTATAAATAAACATTCTACTTAAACCGTACAGGCTTAGGCAGTATTTTTTGCCATATATATAAATATATAATATATATATATATTACAAAAATTAAGAACAATATTTGTAAGGCCTATTCCGTCGTCTCCAGCAACAAGCAAGCCGATATGCAAATAACGCAACGTGTACACATCGATAACGCGGATCGACGCTTCATTTGAAGCAAGAAGGGTGGATAGGTGCAGATGAGACTGAAGACAGAAGGAAAAAAAAGTGAGATAAAAGAGAACAGCTAAGGGACAAGTGAACGAGAAAAAAGAAGTTTGGAGTGGAGAAAGACGGCGTGATAGACGGAAGAAAAGAAGGGAGAAAAAAAGAAAGTAAACGGAGAGAGAGAGAGAGCGAAGGAGAAAAAAGAAAGAGAGAGAGAGAAACGGACCATAAACAAGGCAGGGCAGATGTTTTCTATAGAAGGAAATCTGAATAAATTCTCTCCGGTCGCACGCTGAGATTTTTTTCTCAACCGCCGTCGGCGTACGGAGCTGACCTTTCCGCGTCTCGGACCTTTGAAAATATTTCTTCCTCTACCCTCCTTTTTATCATATTTTATCATACAGAGCTTTGATATAGAAATAATGAATGACACAAATTGCACTTTGATTCCACTGAATCGGAACGATTCAAAGTACGATTACGACGGTGCGTTATGTTACGTCATTGCAGTTTTGCTCTTCTACTCCCTGTCAATCTTTCTAATAATCGCCTCACTAGCGAGGAGATCAAGAGCTCAAGATGCCGTATTGGATTATATAAGGGAGGTCAGAGCTAATAGACGCCTGGAGTTAAAGGAACAAAATGATCAGGTTCGACGAGCCCTTAGAGAAAAATGGCGTTCAGCTGCTCATAGGGCAGTAAGCTCAAAAAAATTGTCCAATTTAATAAGTATGTCTGTTAATAAGAAACGAGTCCCCGAGAAAACAATAGTAGATATTGAACAAGATTTTAGAGTATGCATGTCGACTGATGTATCTGTAAATTCACTAATTACAATAC